TAATAAAACATACTTTTTTTGTTAATTTTGTTATAGAATTAGGATTTTGCTGTTGTTAATGTTGTTACACAATTAGGAATTTGTTGTTCTTAAGCGCAAAGATACACAATGAACTATCTGTCCAGCGCCCACTACGGGTATCGAAACCTAGTTTTTAGCGATATAAGCCTTCAGTCTTACCGTTTAGGCTCTGAGGGAGGCTTGCAACTAAGGAAAGCATATTTTTTGTAGACGAAGACCACATTTATCATATGGTGAAATATAGGATAAAAGTATGTTTTATTAGGATAAAAAAGTGTTTTATTAGGATAAAAGTATGTTTTATTAGGATTTTAAAAGTCTCTTCCGTTGTTCAGGCTACTTCATTCAAGAGATCGATGGGAACAATGTTATGAGACTTTAGACCTCATGTGGTTTAAAAGTCTCTTCCATTGTTCATATGTTTTAAAAGTCTCTTCCGTTGTTCAGGCTACTTCATTCAAGAGATCGATGGGAACAATGTTATGAGACTTTAGACCACGACTTTTGACACGCCATAAGAACCACGTAGAGTGGCCATGACGTCATCATACAACTATGTACATTCACTTCTTCATGGTCTACACACCAGTTTTATAAAATCCTTCATCTTGGCTTCATAAGTGCAGTTATCTGTTTGTTTGTTTGTTTTTTTGTGTGTGTTTGTTATTAAGCACAAAGGCTGTATACACCGCTGGTATCGAAACCCTATTTGTAACGTTTAAACCCTCAGACTTACCACTGAGCAAACCGGAGGGCACGCAGGTATCTTAACAGGGCAAGTGACTTTTGAAACACACTGTACATGGAAAGGTAATCTTCCCTCCCCCGAGCACTCCAATTCTCAACTTAACTGTTTTTGTATCTTAACAGGGCAAGTGACTTTTGAAACACACTGTACATGGAAAGGTACTCTTCCCTCCTCCGAGCACTCCAATTCTCAACTTAACTGTTTTTGTATCTTAACAGGGCAAGTGACTTTTGAAACACACTGTACATGGAAAGGTACTCTTCCCTCCCCCGAGCACTCCAATTCTCAACTTAACTGTTTTTGGTAAATATTTTGTAAGTCACTTGCATAAGAAGTTATAGGTATACGTTCCATCTTGCACAAGCCTAAGTTATTCTCAGATTCATAACCTTAGTCATACTTAATTACATTGAATTGGTATCGAGAATATGTGAAATCAAAGTTTGTATATGTATTTTTCTGGTTTATATCATTTACTTTTGCGAAATTAACGTACCGGATTTTAAGGAAATATTTCTGGCATCATTTTTGTAGGCAGAGTAAATTGAAAAAAAAATAAAACAATATTTCTTTCATCAGTTTACAAAAACTGCACGAACAGTTCATCAGATTAGACTTAATTAGAAACAATTAGAGGTTTTTTATATTGTAAATTGGAAAATTCATTTACTTGTTTTGTTGATGAATTTTTTTTCTAGATCTTTATTATTATTTTGTTATATCGAAAAGTGTGAAAGGAATTTAAGAAGTAACAGCTCAAATAATAGTTTTACTTAGAACTAAAAACTCAGACGTGAGAATTTGAAGTAATAATTAGTAAAATATAAACAACTGAAATTATTATTTATACTGTTGAATAATATGTATGCAATATGTAGACAACATGTAGAGTTAAACAGTATGTCAAAAGGCTTAACTGAATAGAACAGCAACTATTTATTATAACAATGATAGTGTGGAAGAATACTGCCCAAGAGGCCTTTCGTTCAATACCAGAACTCGTCAGTTGAGCTGGACGATGGTAAAACAAATGAGCTACTGAAACGCCATTCGTGTATGCTTGTTTGTTGTTCAAAGTTAAACACAAAGCTACACAATGGGCTGTCTGTGCTCTGCCCACCACAGGTATCGGAACCAGGTTTATAGCGTTGTAAGTCCTTAGACATGCCACCGTGCATGCAGTATAATACTTCAAAAGGTACAGTACAAACGCCGAAAGCTGGCGAAGCTTAGAAACCACTTGGTCTAAAATTTGTGATAAAATCATATAAACTGCGGGTGTTATTTTTTTGCCATATCCATGTCAACCATATCCATCGCCGACGACGCCTTTCGCTCAATACAAGAGGTCATTAGGCCGGCTTGGATTAAAAAAAACGTAGTCATGGTCGGCACACTATTTATATAAGTGATTTGTTACAATAAAAATTGTTATTGTAAAGCTATATCGAACATCATGTGGTTGAGATATTGTTATACATTCTAAGGGACTGAACAGAAAATGTAGTGTTTGAAAATACAATAAGCCTAATACTATTGTATTGTGCCAAATATAATTGATTAACTTCACGTTTCTCTAGCAAATGACATTCACACCATTAGAAAAACTAACTGATCGGTAAATGATAATAGGCTTAACTGATTAGACAATAGAAGAAAACTGATTAGTTAGTGATAATAGGCTTAACTGATTAGACATTAGAAGAAAACTGATTGGTTAGTGATAATAGGCTTAACTGATTAGACATTAGAAGAAAACTGATTGGTTAGTGATAATAGGCTTAACTGAGTAGAACAGTAATCCCTTATTGTAACATTTATTTAGTGCAATTGTTTTAAAATATTCTTTTATGCTAAGAAAACACGTAGAATGCAAATAAATTAATAACACAATAAGAAACCCCCAACATGAGCGCTTCCCCTTTATTCTTCAAGATAAAATGGGAATATTCCAATGTTTGTTTTGGATAGGATAACAAGTTCATTCACCTGTGGTGATTTAAAACGTTTCAATAACAAATTACTCATCAGGTCAACATAGAAAGGGGTTAAAGGTCCCCCAAGAAGGTCTTTAAAAGTAATAGTTTACAGGCTGAGAGCTGGCGAAGCATTGAAACCACAATCGGTACCCCTCTAAGGACTTCTTAATAAGATCGACCTTAATTACATAAATCTCGTTCCACTATCCAAAATAAACGGTTAGTCTCTACCTAAAACTTAGTGTTAAAGCAGGTTTAAAGTTCTACAGGTATTCAGTTCTGATTTGTTTTCATTTTAATTCCAAGGTAATTGTTTTCGTTTTGGAAACAAATGGCTACTTACTTGTTGGTTATCTAATATTAATAGTCCATGAATAGGTACGTTAACATGCAGGTATCTTAATAATACACAAGCTGTGTGGCTGACTCCCAGAAATGGTGAGCACGTCTATTTTTAGGGCTATATTGGCATAAGTTTTCTTAATTTTGAATTGGGAAAACAGCTTGTTAATAGCACCGACCGAAAAAGCTTTGGGTACATTTTTTGTCTAGTCGAATAGTGAGGTTTTTCCCGTTGCTCTTATAGAACACCTTCGTCTCAAAAGGCGCACGTTTCTGTGAGAACGGGTCATGGGTCATGAACCCTCGATCCACGGTCCGGTCACGAAAACCGCTAGGGCACGCCCGACCTGCTTTATTAAAGAGAATTTCACCAATGTGTTATAGTTTTAAAAAAAATAGCTTAATACAGAAAGGCCACAGCTACTAAGTGATAATTTCTATTTATATTCACGTACTCAGTTATCAGCAAGAACAGTAACCTAGTATTACCTGTTAGCTTAAACACCTGATCACCGCTTTTAGTTTTGTTACAATTCAAAGCTCGTTGGTTTAAAGTTCGTCCTCTTGCCTTTCACTTTCAATGTGGCTGTTGTACTGATTATTGTACACTGTTGAAAATTTTACGCTAACCGATGAGAAAAACCGCAAATTTCGCTTATAGTCTTAGAAGATTAACCAGTCGTTCCATTTCACTTCAAACGAAATGTTATAGCAGACAGAATATAAACTAAATTATAAATGGAACTTTTCAATAAGTTGAATAAGTTTCACTTGTTTTAAGTCGAGCATCTATCCTATTAAGAGAAAAATAGCATTGTTTCCATAGCTGAACCTGTCGACTGTCGTCTTATCCAAGCTTACGGATCTTGGTCTAAGACAGAATAATTGAATTGATTATTTCAATAACATAAATCATGAAGAATAGGACTTGAGTGACTCTGGTATGCCAGAAAAAGTGTTATCGATGGAATTGTTCTGGAACTTTCTTTCTTTTTTATTTACGCTTTTGCACGGAAATTTAATCATTCTCTGTTCTTCTATTTTATAGAGATTCCGGCACCCGTGACGTCACCCCAGCCTTATCCTCCGGATACGCTACAACCAAAGTCAGAAAAACTGTGGAATAGTTACTCCCACAACGTGGTCTCTAAGCCTAAAGAGAAAGGTATAGTAATATAATCATACAATTATTTGTTTGAGGAGCTGTTAGTACAAAGTACGTTGTTTGTGTGTGTACTTATGTTGTTCAAGGAATACAATTAAAAGTATAATATAGTTACTTTGTTAATGTTGTTACACAATTAGGATTTTGTTGTTGTTAATGTTGTTACACAATTAGGATTTTGTTGTTGTTAATGTTGTTACATAATTATGAATTTGTTGTTGTTAATGTTGTTACACAATTAGGATTTTGTTGTTGTTAATGTTGTTACACAATTAGGATTTTGTTGTTGTTAATGTTGTTACACAATTAGGATTTTGTTGTTGTTGATGTTGTTAAACAATTAGGAATTTTTTGAATATACACTGTGTAATAACAAATGTTTCTTTAAAATAAGCTACATAATGTTTAATTCAGGATAACAAAACACGAAGATTCAATAAACTTTAGTGAATCACATAAAAACCGAAAAAAAAAGAAAAATTAATGCTTTCAGGTAGAAATGGGTTTTAAATCCATGCCTTTTTCTCCGGAACTTTAACACTAACAATACAGGATTAGTTTCGTCAGATTCACGTGACCTTCTTGGTTGGACCATGTCTTACAGACAAAGAGATGTTCATTACAGCATATATGTTGAACTTTGATTTCTTGGGTGACCTTTGTCTCAACGATTTATCTCTCAATCTTACAACCCATCCAAGGTCTCAAAGTATGGGGCGATATTTCTTTCTTTTCTTAGCGGTTACAAACGTGGTCGCTGCAGATCCACAGTCCGACACGTTAGTCATTGGCACACAGTCCGGCACGCTAGCCATCGACACACAGTCCGGCACGCTAGCCACTGACACACAGTCCGGCACGCTAGTCATTGACACACAGTCCGGCACGCTAGCCATTGGCATGCAGTCCGGCACTCTAGCCATTGACACACAGTCCGGCACGCTAGTCATTGACACACAGTCCGGCAATCTAGCCATTGACACAGTCCGGCACGCTAGTCATTGACACACAGTCCGACACGTTAGTCATTGGCACACAGTCCGACACGTTAGTCATTGGCACACAGTCCGGCACGCTAGCCATTGACACACAGTCCGGTACGCTAGCCATTGACACACGGTCCGGCACGCTAGCCATTGACACACAGTCCGGCACGCTAGCCATTGACACACGGTCCGGTACGCTAGCCATTGACACACAGTCCGGCACGCTAGCCATTGACACACGTCCGGCACGCTAGCCATTGACACACATCCGGCACGCTAGCCATTGACACACAGTCCGGCACGCTAGCCATTGGCATGCAGTCCGGCACTCTAGCCATTGACACGCTCGACCATACAGTATGAATATCAAAGAGTTGGGATAATAATAATAATGAACAGGAACTGATAGTAAGGTATGTGTGGTTCTGTCAATGAACAGAAACATATATGGATTTTAGTGTGTTCTAGTTCAAGTTAAACAATGAAACAAATATGGATTTAAGTGTGTTCTAGTTCAAGTTAAACAATGAAACAAATATGGATTTAAGTGTGTTCTAGTTCAAGTTAAACAATGAAACAAATATGGATTTAAGTGTGTTCTAGTTCAAGTTAAACAATGAAACAAATATGGATTTAAGTGTGTTCTAGTTCAAGTTAAACAATGAAACAAATATGGATTTAAGTGTGTTCTAGTTCAAGTTAAACAATGAAACAAATATGGATTTAAGTGTGTTCTAGTTCAAGTTAAACAATGAAACATATATGGATTTAAGTGTGTTCTAGTTCAAATTAAACAATGAAACAAATATGGATTTAAGTGTGTTCTAGTTCAAGTTAAACAATGAAACATATATGGATTTAAGTGTGTTCTAGTTCAAATTAAATAATGAAACAAATATGGATTTTATTGTCTATAGAAGAACTTGAAGAATAAAAAAGTTTCCAAGTAAGTACTTTACATATAAAGTAAATATTTTAATATCAAGAATTAATTAAACTAGACATATATGCACGCAGAAAACACTATTTACTCTTGTTGTTGTTGTTGTTGTTATTATTATTAAGTACTTTACGTATAAAGTAAATATTTTAATATCAAGAATTAACTAAATCTGGACATATAAGCACGCGGAAAACACTATTTGCTCTTGTACAGTAATTGTACAGATTACGTTGTACAGTAATTGTACAGATTACGTTGTAAAGTACTTGTACAGATTACGTTGTACAGTAATTGTACAGATTACGTTGTAAAGTACTTGTACAGATTACGTTGTACAGTAATCGTACAGACTACGTTGTACAGTAATTGTACAGACTACGCTGTACAGTAATCGTACAGATTACGTTGTACAGTACTTGTACAGATTACGTTGTACAGTAATAGTACAGATTACGTTGTACAGTAATCGTACAGACTACGTTGTACAGTAATTGTACAGACTACGCTGTACAGTAATCGTACAGATTACGTTGTACAGTACTTGTACAGATTACGTTGTACAGTAATCGTACAGATTACGTTGTACAGTACTTGTACAGACTACGCTGTACAGTAATCGTACAGACTACGTTGTACAGTACTTGTACAGATTACGTTGTACAGTAATCGTACAGACTACGTTGTACAGTAATCGTACAGATTACGTTGTACAGTAATCGTACAGACTACGCTGTACAGTAATCGTACAGATTACGTTGTACAGTAATCGTACAGACTACGTTGTACAGTAATTGTTAGAAATTGGCTGCTAAAATGTTAGTAAGTATAGTAATGGCGAAAATCTCACCAAATTAAAACAATTATACTGGTGAACACGAAAAGCAAAGTTTCGAGCAACAACCCTTTCCAGTTCTCGCCGTTATTATGTTTTACATTTTGCAATTTCCTCGCCCACGCATTTTTTTATTACTAGTTAAAATGTAAGAGTCATAATGATTTTAGTGATATTACTAGTTAAAATCTAAGAGTCATAATGATTTTAGTGATATTACTAGTTAAAATCTAAGAGTCATAATGATTTTAGTGATATTACTAGTTAAAATCTAAGAGTCATAGTGATTTTAGTGATATTACTAGTTAAAATCTAAGAGTCATAATGATTTTAGTTATATTACTAGTTAAAATCTAAGAGTCATAATGATTTTAGTGATATTACTAGTTAAAATTTTAGAGTCATAATGATTTTAGTTATATTACTAGTTAAAATTTTAGAGTCATAATGATTTTAGTGATATCACTAGTTAAAATTTTAGAGTCATAATGATTTTAGTGATATCACTAGTTAAAAATGTTAACTTCTCAATTCTCCGCTCAGTGAAACTGAACCATTTTTAACTTACAGGGCTGAGAAATGAAGAACAGGAGCCTAGGGTGGCATGAAATTTGTAAATTTTGAAGCAACGTATGTTTTAAAAGTCTCTTCCGTTGTTCATATGTCTTAAAAGTCTCTTCCGTTGTTCAATTGGTTTAAAAGTCTCTTCCGTTGTTCATGTGGTTTAAAAGTCTCTTCCGTTGTTCATGTGGTTTAAAAGTCTCTTCCGTTGTTCATATGTTTAAAAAAGTTTATTCCGTTGTTCACGTGGTTTAAAAGTCTCTTCCGCTGTTTATGTGCTTTAGACATTTTTCCGTTGTTCACGTGGTTTAAAAGTCTCTTCCGTTGTTCACGTGGTTTAAAAGTCTCTTCCGTTGTTCACGTGGTTTAAAAGTCTCTTCCGTTGTTCACGTGGTTTAAAAGTCTCTTCCGCTGTTTATGTGGTTTAAAAGTCTCTTCCGTTGTTCACGTGGTTTAAAAGTCTCTTCCGTTGTTTATGTGGTTTAAAAGTCTCTTCCGTTGTTCATGTGGTTTAAAAGTCTCTTCCGCTGTTCATATGGATAATATATTATACTGTACAGTGGTTGATGATATATTATACTGTACAGTGGGTGATAATATATTATACTGTACAGTGGTTGATAATATATTATACTGTACAGTGGTTGATAATATATTATACTGTACAGTGGGTGATAATATATTATAATGTACAGTGGGTGATAATATATTATACCCACTGTACAGTATAATATATCATCACCCACTGGACAGTATAATATATTATCACCCACTGTACAGTATAATATGTCATCACCCACTGTACAGTATAATATATCATCAACCACTGTACAGTATAATATATCATCACCCACTGTACAGTTTAGTATATTATTACCCACTGTACAGTATAATATATTATCACCCACTGTACAGTTTAGTATATTAGTACCCACTGTACAGTATAATATATTATTTATTACTAACTGTACGTTAAACATGTTATTACGAAACGTACAATTTGGTACGTTATTATTAACGGTACAGCTTAATACGCTACTACTAAACGTACAATTTAATACGTTATTACTCACCGTACAGTTTAATACTGCCTTTTGCAACTCCTAGAGAATTCTTTGCTGAGCAGCGGTAAGTCCCAAAGTCATCAGGTTGCAGATTTCGAATTTGAAGTTTCATCTGAGTCTTGTAAGGTCCGTTAGGTGTCTCGCTGGTATTGTATTTTGAGTTGGAGATGACGATGTAGACGTCTTTTTCTCTGACCCAATAAGCTACAGACTTAGGATGTGATTCTAAGTTACAGTCAAGGATGACGTCAGATCCTATCGCAGCGCCGACTACTTGGTTTGGAACAGAGATTGCAGGTTTAACTGGTATATAAACAGTCAAAATTAGATTATGTAAAATTAATAATGATTTACATTAAATAGATTAATATTTTTGTAAAACATTTTAAAATTCTTTGCCTTACATGCAGCATGTTGAATAAAATATTATTTTATTTTCCACCTTACTGTCTTATGCTAAAAAATGAACTTGGGTGTTTTAAAAATCACTTTAATTTGTATGGTGTTGTTATTAAGGGTACAAGAAATCACTCAGAAAAAAACAACAACGAACGTATATAAGACAGATGTCTTTGTATGATAAGTGCAGGGAGGAAGAGACGTTCGGCTTAATATAGTTAATAATATGATTTATAAAGTTTTTATTGGCAATTACGAGTACAGAAACTAGACTCTCGTTTTATCATCTCTTAGAGCAATAAGGACTTCTAATGTTAGAGCTTAGTCAATTATTCGAACGTTCTAGTAACCTTAGAGCCGTGACTTCTAATGTTAGAGCTTAGTCAATTATTCGAACGTTCTAGTAACTTTAGAGCCGTGACTTCTAATGTTAGATCTTAGTCAGCTATTCGAACGTTCTAGTAACTTTAGAGCAATAAGGACTTCTAATGTTAGAGCTTAGTCAACTATTCGAACGTTCTAGTAACCTTAGAGCCGTGACTTCTAATGTTAGAGCTTAGTCAATTATTCGAACGTTCTAGTAACTTTAGAGCCGTGACTTCTAATGTTAGATCTTAGTCAACTATTCGAACGTTCTAGTAACTTTAGAGCAATAAGGACTTCTAATGTTAGAGCTTAGTCAACTATTCGAACGTTCTAGTAACTTTAGAGCAATAAGGACTTCTAATGTTAGAGCTTAGTCAACTATTCGAAAGTTCTAGTAACTTTAGAGCA